TCCCCTACAGAGGCCTCTAATCTGAACTAGTGGACCAGACTCACAGGCAGGCCAGCGGGCAGGGATGCAGCGCCTGAGCGTCCCAGGCCCCCTGGGGTCTCCACATTCTGCCTATGGCTTCTCTCTGGCTGCAATCTCAGACTCCCTCTTGTGAGGATCTCTCAGCCAGGACGCCCGTACTTACACGTACATGTCCCGGGCTCTTTGGTTTCTTGGCCTGGGCGCATGTGCCCTGCCTCACACCTCTCACCCTGGGTGCCCATGCATGTCCCGTGCTCACGCACCCAAGTGCTTTTTCCACCAACAAATATCGCATGTGGGTAATGAAAACTGGAGGAAAACAAGGCTGCAGGTGGTGGCTGTAGAGGCTGGGGTGGGGCAAAAAGAGCCTGAGCTGCTCCATTTCCCTACAGGTGACAGAGAAGGAGCAGTAGGGCTGTTGCTGGAGCCGGGCTGGGCAGCGTCCATAGGGGGAGGGACGACCCAGGAGGCCGTGGTTGGGAACGGAGGGTGGCTAGGAGGTCCCTGGCCAGCCTGGACGGTGCTGGGAGGCCTTGAGTATCTGGACGAAGGGCCTAAGGAGATGTGGGGTGAGGAAGGTGTATGTGGGGAGCCTCTCAGGGGTCCAGCCTGGGTACTGGGTGACTGAGGGGGTCTCATCTGAGGTAGGACCACTGGTCCCTCGGGAAGCTGAAGGCAGGGCTGGCACTGAAGCAGGTATGTCAGTGGTAGGACTGGACGAGCTACTAAGGCCCTTGAGCACAAGGCAGGGTTTGGGGGTTGGTCATTTCAGCCAGAGGTGACAATGAGGGAGTTAGCAAGTGAATGAATGAATGAATGAAAAAGTTGTTTAAGAGAATCTGCTCTTGGGGAGGCCACAGGTCTCTTCCCTGCTGCCCATCTGGGGAGGTCTCTGAGATTCATGAATCACAGAAGAAGGCCTAAATCCCAGCTCTCCAGAAAAAAGGGTCTTGAACTCTTGGGGACTCCCCCTGACTTGTCCAAATGCCCCCCATAAGGACAACAGAGCAATACACCTTTGGCCTACTCCCACCTCAGTCCCAGTCAGCCTCCAATGCCAGGAGTCAGAGGTTGCCAGCCCCAGTCCCCACCCCCACCTGACCCTTGCCCCGGCTGAACACCCATCCGGTGGGGGATGGGAGGGGGAAAAAGAGGGTCTCTTCTCTCCATCCCCTCTGCAGCTCAATTTGGGGAGCCCCCGGGTAGGGGCAGCACTCCAGTGACTCCAAGGGGCTTGGGAGGTAGGATGCTGGAGCCCCCTACTAGCCACAGGCCCCCAGCCCCATCATTCAACGCTGATAAAGCCCGGATTCTGCGCTGGGTGCTGGGTTGGACACGGGGCCCAGCAGGGAACACACAGGGCCCTCCCGTCTCACGTCTGCGGTTCCCTGGAGGAGGGGACCAGGGCCCACGACTGCACCGTGCTCTCAGGGACCGTCCTCATCCCCAGAAAACCAGAAGTCCCTGCGGGCAGGAGCTGGGCCTATCCCAGGGGAGGGGACTTTCCCGGGCCACGACTGTGACATCCCGCCGGGCTGGGGCTCCCCGTCTCTAAGACCCGCCGCTCCTGAGGCGCCTTCACTTACTCTCGGGCCAGGGGAGGTACAGGCTGCCCGGCTAAAGCCCCATTTCATACACACAAGGGCTCGTTTTTTTGGTATACGTAGGTCCCAAATAGCGCACGAGGTGTCCTTCACCTACAAATTATTCCGTGTTTATCTGAAATTCAAATTTATCTGGGCTCCATGTGTTTCTACTTGCTAAATCTGGCAGCCCTGCCCCGAGCTCATTCCTTCGGCTGGCACCTGGCCTGACCAGATGGCCCACTTCGTGTCTGGACGTGGCCCCTGCCTGCCGGATTTGAGGCCCTGCCGGCCCACACAGGGCCCCCAGGACTGACAGCCCCCGCCGGGTCACCCTGCAACCCTAGCTCCCGGGCGGACAACCCCCAACAGGCAGACCTGTAGACCATGAGACTCCAGCAGAGACAGGCGGACGGAGCCATAGCTGTAAAGCGACCCCGCGCCCCAGAAGCAGAGACACGGCAGTAAAGGGACACGGCGGGCAGGGAGAGAGCCAAGACGGAGAGACAGGGAGTCGAGGCCCCTGCCCAGAACTGCTCCAGGGAGACCGGTGCTGGGGGGAGGGGAGGCGCCTGCAGCCCACCAGGGACGCCCTTGAGTTGAGTGGGGCAGAGGCTGGTCCTCTGAGCCCCAACATTGGGCCTGGGGCTCTGAGTCCTGGACCAGCCTGGGAGGTAACTCGGGGTCTCCTGCCCTGGTAGTGAAGGGTGGGAGTCCTGCCCAGCCCCTGCCAACCTCCCCATGCCTGCCTCTCAGGGGCAAACACAGCGACATTCATGGCTTCCCAGAAGGGCCTATGGGGCAGCCAGAGTGGCTTTTAAAATTAGCCTCGCTAACCAGATCTGGCTATTTCAGGAGGCACCATCCCTGGCTGTCCCCTTGGCAGGGCGGGTGTGGAGAGGGAGGGACCTCCACATTCCAGGGTCCCCTGTGGCCTGAGCGGCAGAGAACACCCAGGTCCCGGACCCCTGGCACTGGGCGGGCCTGGGCCTGCAACAGTCTTTGGCAGTCGCCCAGGGTTAGTCATGGATGTTCAGGGACACCATCTGCCGGGGGAATGGGAGCCCCCTCATACTGGGCTTGGGTTCTACGGTAGGTACCTTAGAGGTCATGGCAGCGCCTTCCAGCAATAGGTAGGGCCTTGTCTCCACTTTACAGGTGAGGAATCCGAGACCTGGAGAGAGAGGGCCAGCTCCCAGGCTGGGCAGATGGTGGAGTCAGGTCAGCCGGGCACCCACGTCCCTCCACGGGAGGCCTCCTGCCTCCCATGTCTGGAGAAACCCCTGGCTGCCGTCTCCACCACCAAAGTTATTTCTAAGCAGAGCCCAGCTCTTCCCGGAGCTGAGTGCCCCCCGCCCAAGCCTAATTCCAGCCTCCGGTCAGTGTCCCGGCTCGCCCTCCCCGCCTCAGAGCCCTGTGTGAGCACGGAGCTGGCAGGGGCACAAGAGAAACTTCGCTGGACACTTTGATCCGGGAGTGGGTTTGTCCTCAGCCTCCTGGGCCCCACCTGGGAGCCCGTGGGGGTGGGGGTGGGGGCAGACAGAACCCAGCCCAGAGGCCTGTCCATCCTGCAGACGGGACTGGCATGACTCAAGCAGGCAGAGGGGCAAGGTGGGTCTGGTCACTGAGCTGCCCACCTGCTTTTGCCACAACGAACCCCAGCCTTGGAGCTCAGCTGTAGAACAGAGCTGTGGGGTGGGGTGGGGTGCTCAGGGTCAAGGACAAGAGCAAGCAGGGCACCTGAGTCTCACAGTAAAGCATTGTGGACCCCAGAAGAGCTGGGGTGCTGAGGCGCAGAACGCAGCTGAGTGTTCCATGCCAAAGCCTCACGTGGACACCTGTCTCCACCTCACTGCAGCAAGCGAACCCTGGGCCTTGGGGTGGGTAATAGACGTGGTCCCATGGTGGCTACTCAGTCCCTGACACCCAGTTTCTCAAGCCCGCCAGGTGCCGGGGCTGCACCCAGAACATTTGAGGTGTCACCTCAATGCACCCCACTGTACAGATGAGGAAACTGAAGCTCAGAGACCTGAAATCACAGGCCCAGAGTCAGAGCTGGGAAGGGAATGAACTCAGAGGGAAGTCTTGACCTTGGACAGTGGCTGCTGGCCCTTTGGTGTGGAGAGGCAGGGCGGGACACCGGGGCAGAGAGGACTGAAGAGCCAGGGTCTCGAGTGGGGGATTGTGAGGGTTACAGGACAGGGGTGAGGCTAAGTGATGGGGAGGAGCTAAATAGGCGACCCATTGAGCCCAGGGCAGCCTGAGTATAGGGTTTAGGGCTGAGTGTGAGTTCCTGGATGCCCAGAGGTATCTGAGGGTGACAGAGTTCCTGTCAGGTAAGATGTGGCTCTCCCGGGACCCAGCAGCCTCCTTGGGGGATGAGGGGAGCAGGAGGCTGTGAAGCTTGGGGGAGGCCCAGGCATGACTAATCCTAGTGGGAATCAATTCTGTCTCCACTGTCAAGGCCAATGGCCTCCAATCCACCCCAACCTGCTTTGCCTCCTGTGGCCCTACCTCAGGAGACCTCCGTAGTCACTAGTACCCAGGCTGGACCCCTAAGAGGCCCCCCACATACAACTCCCTCACCCCATATTCCATCAGGCGCTTTGTCCAGATACTCAGCCTCCCAGCACCTTCCAGGCTGGCCAGGGACCTCCGAGCCACCCTATATTCCCAGCCAAGGTCTCCTGGGTCCTCTCTCCCTCCGTGGATGCTCCCAGCCAGGCTCCAGCCGCAGCCCTGATGCTCTCTCTGCTGCCTGCTGCCCCAGCATAAGGTCAAGCCCAACCTCTAGCTCTGGCATCCAAAGGCACATGCCCCTTGCCTGGTCTTTGTCCATCTCCCTGTGCCCTCAGTCATCAGCTGTTGGCATTCCCAGTTCTAGTGCCCCCACCCCCCGCCCCACTCACTTAGCACCTGCAGCTCCCTCCCCAGGGACCCTTTCGGAAGGCTCCCAGGTGCTCAGGCAGCATGCTCCGGAGTCTTCTCCAGCCTCCCTCACCCAGGCCGGGCCCCTGCTGCTGGGCACCCCCTTCACTCATCACGCTTTATTTGCAGCTGCCCAGCACCGGTGAGCTCTCCTGTCAGCTGGACGGTCACCTCTTCTTCCCACGGGTAAGTGGTCCCTCGGCGCCCCCTGGTGGCCACATGGGGGAAATTCTTCACTGAGCTGAGAAGGGCGGATGAGCCGCTGAGCACCCACTGAGCACCGAGCACCCACTGAGCCCAGCAGGGTGCTGGGCCAGGTCGGCACATCCTCGTGAGCGGCGCTACTGCCCCGTTTCTCAGAAGTGGAAACTGTGGCTCAGAGAAGCTAGTTTGTTTTCAGTGACGCCTGGCTGGTAAGAGATGGCGCCAGACGTGAATCTGGGACCGCCCCACCGCAAAGCAGGGCCCCCCGGGAAGGCACAGCTGGCTGGTCGTGGAACCCTGGTCTGGCCCTGGCGGTGCCCAGACAGCAGTTCTGAAGGGGGGAGGGGCTAGGCTTCCCCTCCACCTTGGCACCACTGAAATCTGTCTGGGGTCACACAAAGCCAGGTCCAACTCGGGGTACAATAGCGATAAATAGAATTTATTTTGTACAACTGTTACTGACATACACACGGCCACGGGGGCTTCCAAATTGGGTGTTGGGGCTGGAAGGCTGGCCTTCGGTGCGGTGCCTAAAAAGTGTGGACAGACACACAGATGTGGACTCAGCCGCTGGGCCTAGCCGCCCCCTCCCTGGGGTGGGGGGCACGGAGGTGAGTGGTCACTCTAGGCCGGCTGAGACCCCCGGGCCTGGAGCGCCCAGGAGCAAGGGAGGCCAAGCTGGGTGCTGGCTGAGATGCCAGGTGGTTCCCCGCAAGGGGGTCACCTGTCTTGTGTGGAGGCAGTGGAGGGGGTGTTGGCAGATCTGTGGTAGAACATGAGGGTCCAGGTGAGGCAATGGGCAGTCAGCCCCCACCCCTCAGTCCACCTGGAGCCCCAGAGACCCCAAGAAGCAGGGTAGTGTGATGGAGGCCCTGGGAGAACAGCGCCCCGCTCGGGTGCAGGTGCCAGGAATCACAGTCTTCAGGACCTCAAATAATCTGTCCTCCTGCAGCAGAGGCACTGGACAGAGGGTGCCCGGAACCGCACAGCAGGACGCAACTCTGCCCCCCGCCCAGAGCTCACTCCGCTGCGCTCGCACCCCGCGCCTCCACAGCAGGTCCGCGCGCACTGAATAGCTCAATACCCCCTGAGTCCAGAGGTGCACCCAGGGGTGATGGAGGGCCCAGGGTAGGGGCAAGCCAACTGACCACTCCCTGCCCCAGCCTGGCCCCCAGCCCGGGGCTGGGGATGATGCCAGCAGCTTCCTGGCTCCTGGGCTCCCGGGTGGGTGTGGGCGGCTCTGCCCTGCAGAGACAGCCCAGTCGGGCGGGCCGAGGGGAGGGTGGGAGAGGGGCAGCCCAGGGGCTGGTGCTGGCCTGGAAGCAGGGGTCCATCTGCCTGGAGTTGACACAGCAGCTTCGCCTTGTGCTTCTGAGGCCCCGTCTGCAGGGGAAGGGGAGATGGCGATACCTCGAAGCGGGAAGGCAGAGGAGGAGGAGCGACCTCGGAGTCCAGGCTCTGGGTCTTTCTGTCCTCCCTGCCACCAATTCCCCAGCCCCCCCAGGCTCCCATCAGCTCACAGGCAGAGGGGAGGCGCACAGCAGGGAAGGGAAGCCCGGTGAGGGGCCGGGGGCTCGCCCGAGACATCTAGCAACTGGTGGCAGAGGAGCAGGGAAGCATTGGCCCACCCCCTGCCCACCCATGCCCGCCCCCCGAGACAGAGCCAAGGCTGGGTCTAACCTGCTCCGCTTCGCCTTCAGAGGGGCCAGGCTAACAGCCCTGCGCGGACAGAGAACAGCGCGGCGGTGAGGCAGGTGACAGCGCCGTCGGCAGGGCGGCAAGAGACGGGCAAGCAGACGTCACGGCCACACCCCAGCTGGATGAGCCAACCCCTCAGCCCCCACCCCGGCCCCTGGAAGCCCCCAAGCCCAGGCAGCAGCACCTACCGGCTGGGGCGTGTGCTGTTCAGATGCTTCCAGCTGGATCTTGATCTCGGGACACGCAGGGTCCCCCGACTTGGCGGCGTCTGGGTGGGGTGACCTCGAGGGGCCTGGAGAGGGGGGCAGGAGGGAGCCACCTCACTGGCCGCGGGGAGGCACCAGGGAGACGGGGGCATGGGTGGGCAGTCGGCACTGGTATTCCCCAATCCCCCAAGTCCCTCCCTCAGGGAGCCCCACTTGTAACTCCCCTCTCTATGCCCCACCATCCTCCAAGACCCCCTCCAGAAGCCACAAGGCCACCCACCCACCTCAAGCTGGGTAATGGCCCATCCACTGTCCCCCACATCAGGCACATCATGCCCCCACCCCCGGGGGCTGGAGAACTGTCTCCCCACCACGGGGCCCTCCTGCAGGAGAGTAGCCCCCCGCTGGGGAAAGTTGCCCCCTGCCTGGTACCTGGTGAGCTGCCTCCACTCGTTGTGCTGACGCTGTCCTCCAGCCACGTGCTGTAGATGAAGGAATCCCGCTTATGGGGTGTCCCCGAGGACGAGACGCTCTCCTGGGTGCGGAAGAGGAGACAAAGAGGGAAGTGAGCCCCCTACACACATGGCCTGGAATCCCCCCAGCCCTTCCACCCAACAGCACCCACAGTCCCCAACTCTTGCCCCCTCTGCCCAAAATGGGGCCCAGCAGTGTCTGTTCCAGGGACATTGCCCCAGGGAGAGCACAGGAGAGGGAGAGCAGGCCTGGAACCAGGCACCACGCACTCCATTTATTCATTCAACAAACATTTGCTGATGCTCTGCATTCTGCGGGCTAAATCAGGCACACTTCCTGCCAGCAGAGAGCTAGCTGGTGGGACAGACCAGGCAGAGACCAGTATGATCCCAGACTGTAAGCCCACCAGGCAGGCCTGGGCCTGCATTGCTGCCTGCGGCACCTGTGGCCCCTGGAACAAACCTGGCGGGAACTAGGTGCCCACTAAAGGTCTGTTGAGTAACGAGGACAAAGGGTGCCAGGGGCAAAGCCCCCGTCAGGGAGAGGTAACGGGGGTTCCGAACCAACCACAGGACTAGAAAATCAGGGAAGGCTTTCAGGAAGAGGTGACACGAGGCTGAGTCAAGAAAGAGGAGTAGGAGTCAATCAAAAAGGGGGAAGGAGGGGGCAGACATGGCAGGTGCAAAAGCCCAGAGGTGGAGTAAGCCCCGTAGGTTTGGAGGACAGTGAAAGGGTGCAGAATGACTGACAAGGTGAGATGAGGGAGGGAACAGATCTTCAGTGGTCTAGAGCCCACTGTGGCTTTCTGTGGGGGCACTGAGGAGCCACGGAAGGCGCCAGAGTAGGGGAGGGCTTGTCTGCATCACTCCTCTAGGGTTAGGGCACATCGCAGCCAAGCTTGGGCTCATGCTTCCACCCACAGCATCTCCAGGGACCAAAAGAACCTCCCTCTGGGTCCCTGTGCTGCACCCCTAACGCCCAGGCCTCTCACCAGGCCTGTATCATCCCCGTCCACACCCTCCGTCTCCTCCACCACGCTGGCGAAGCTGCTGGCGCTGGACGAGGAACGGGAAAAGTCCTTCAGCACCTCTGCTCGCTGGGCCGCTGTCTCCGCTCTGCCACAGACAGTGTCCTGTCAGCCAGCACCCCCCTGGGCGCCTCCTGGGCCACGCTCCTGGCCCGTGGCCTGCAGCCCAGCCTACCCCCAGCCAAGCACCCTTGTGGCCATTACAGCTTCCTGGGCCTCTGAGCCTCTCCCGGCCACTGTCTTCCCCAAGTCATGGATCTGACCACGTGCCTCCCCTGCTCAAAACCCTCTCATGGCCTCCATGTGAAGTCTGTTCCCTCGGCTGGGTGTTCCACAATAGTAACTGCTAACAGCAACATCATACAGTACGTGCTTGCTCAGCCAGGCTCTGCCCTAAGTGTTTGTACCTGGGTTATCTCATTGCTATTATGAGAGGCATCTTCCAGATGAGGACATCCTGAGGCTCAGAGAGGGTGGGCACACAGCCCAAGGTCACTCAGCCATACACAAGGGCCCTTCGGATTCCAGTTTACCCTCTCTACCCCCTTACAGTTTGTTTCAAGCTCTGGACCTCTGTTGTCTCCTGCCTAGAGTCTCCTTCTCTCAAATCCCACAGAGCAAAACTCTTTCAAAATCAGCCAAGGCCCCCTATTCCAGGAGGCCCTCCCTGATTCCTCCTCCCCAGGTAGGAATGACCTCCCTGCTCTGGGTCCCACCTGCCTTGTCTCTGAGCTTGCCTGACTCTGCAGCCCTCACTGAATCCTCTTGCTGCCCCCAGAACCTGCACAGAAGGGGCACGGCCAGCAAGCCTGGATGGAGGGACAGCCTCCCTGCTGGCCTCTTGCTGCAGTCATGGTCAGCTCTTTAAATCATCACTCCCTTAGCAAAAACCTTCCAGAGGCTCCTTGTCACATATAGGATAAGATTCTAAGTATTCACATGGCCCCCAGAGCCACAGTGGAGTCCCTGTTCACCTCTACCTCATTTCCGCTACCACCAGCAGGGTCTGCCTCGGCCCAGCCACCCACTCACTCGGCTCCAATGCATTCTACCCCTCAAGTAGGCCTCAGGGCCTTTGCATTTGCTATGCTTCTGACCCGGAATCCTCTTCCCTCTGCCATGCCAGTCCCAGCAGGACTGACTTCCTTGCTCGGCTCCCAATTTAAACTCCCCCCTTCCGTTGATGTCTTCCCTGAGCATCTGTCTAAACCCCAGCCATCCCCAGTCACCCTTCATGGTGTCCCCTGCTTAAAAGGTTATAATATGGCTGGGACCATCAGCTCCATGAAGCAGGGGCCATGTGTGCCCAGTTAGGTCTTGGCTGTTGTCCAGAGCACAGCATGGGGCCGACACACACACACACCCTCCCCCCCACCCCCCATGTAGCCCTGGGCCCACTGGGGTGGAGAAGTCCAGCACAGCTGGCGCTCAGCGCAGGTGCCCGCACCCCCACCTGTTCTTGGTCGTGGGCATCTCTGGAGAGCTCTGCGTGGATGAGTTCTCTGACTTGGGCTCCTGGGAGACGTGCCCGCTGTCTGGGGTCTTCTGGCCAGCTGGGGGGCTCTCCCTGCGGGGCACACGGGGGCAGCGAGGGGATTCAGCACTGGGCCTGGCATCAGGGTAGAATGAGGCCCAGGTGGTGAGAGGAAGTCAAGACCTCCTCCCGCCCCACATCCACAGCCATCCTCAGACGCTGGCCCCGAGCAGGCCCTTGGCTCCCTGCTGGACAGCCCAAGAGGGGTGTCTCCACAAGACACCCCTGGCCCTCCTCTCCATGGGAGGGGGTATAACTGCCTCCTGTTATGGAGAAGAAAATGAGCCAGAGATGAGTAGGAACCTGCCCAGACGCATAGCTAAGACCTGGCAAAGGCAAAGCCCAAACCCAGCATTCTTGGACTCTGGGATGTTGTGGCCATGAAGATGGCACCAGTGCTGCTCCTGAGGCCTTTCCAGTGTGCCCAACACCCTGCTCCAAATCATTATACTCTCAGCGCCACTTTTCAGATCGGGACAATGAAGCTCAGAGAGGTATAGTGTCTTTCCCAAGGTCACACAGCCCCAGCATGTGGAGACAGGATTCACACCCAGAAACTACACTCTGCTCTCCTGGGGCGGCCCTATGGCTACATGGTGTGCTGCTCACATCCTCCCCAGAAAGATGCACCCCCAGAACCCCATGCCAGCCTGCAGGAGACAGTGCTTATTCCACACACTGCCTCACACATTAGGGGAGTGCGAAGAGCAGCACAGGCCCTGGACAGACCAGGCCTCAGATCCTGCCTCTGCTGCCCACTGGCTGTGTGTGTGTGTGACCTGGGCAAGCCCCTGACCCCTGACCTACAGCTTCTAGATCTTCTGGGTCTGACCCCAGGGAGGCAGCAAAACGGCTGAGCAGATGAAAGCCTTTCAGATTAGGGTTGAGCTGGCCCTGGTGCCAGCACATGGCAGGGACTGAACCATACAGCTGTCACCAGTGGGGGGCAGAGTGTGGACACTTGCTCCTGCCTGCTTTGCTTTGCCACCAAACGAGAGTCAGAGAGGAGCTAAGGGGAGACACAGGACCCTGTGCCACCCACCCCACTTACCCACCTTTTCTCCTGCACCTCCTGTATGTTCTCAATGCCAATGGCACTGCTGCGGCGTGAGCCAAATGGCCCCGACTTCTTCCTCGTGGGGCTCTTCCCAGGGACAATCAGTGACTGTGGAAGAGGCCCCAACTCAGTGCCCACCTGCCCCGGGATCCCAGTGCCCCCACATGCCATCCTGCCCCAGACCCTGAAGCAGAGGCACTGAGCAAGAGGAGAGAAAATGCCCATCCCCAGAGACAGCCCACCCGGTTCCCAGCAGGGAAATAGGCCCAGAGAGAGCAAGGGCCCCGCCTGAGGTCACAGAGCAGGGCAGGGCCTCAGGGGGCTGGGGAGCCACTCTGGGCTAGATGGGAGGAAGTCACGTCCACAGAATGGGTACCCGCCTCTGCCCCCCAGGGCACGTGCAGCCTAGGGCAGCGGGAGTGGGCACAGCAACCCAAGCCCTGCCCTTGGAATCTCCCTGGCGGGGGAGGTTCTGGCCCAGCAGTTGAAAGAGACCCCCCCAGTATCCACACACACTAGGAGGGGGTGCCCCGGGCACCAGAGGTAGGCCCCCGACCTCTCTGGGGAGGCAGGAGGTGGGCCCCAGGGAGATGTGAGCAACAGGAACCCTCGGGCCAGGTCACGGTGGCGTCAGGGCAGAGGAGAGGGTTGGCACTCCATGCAGACCCGGCGATATTGGGGGACGTGCGGCTGGGTTTAGGGTCTTTGGGTGCCAGATCCTGGCAGGGAAAGGGCCAAGGTCCCCAGGGCCAGGGCAGGACCAGAAGCCCCCCGTGGAGGACCCTGGCTCTGGCACAGGTGCCAGGCCCCAAAGCAGGCACTGAGTGCCCTCAGAGCTGCCAGCACTCCCCCTGCATGCCCTGGACCTGTCCCGGGGAGAGGGCAACGTCCCCAATATGGCCTCCGTCCTGAGAGCGAGCAGAGAGCAGCGCGTGCAGGCAGCCTCCAGAGCTGGTGGCCCCGCGGACGACAACCTCTTCCACGGTTCCTATGCCTATGGCACTGCCCCGGCGTCCGAATCTACTCGCGCTTTTCCCGGGAATAAGCAATGACTGGCAAGCAGCAGAGGACGAGGACGGAGCAGAGAGAGAGATGGCGAGGGAGGGAGACACAGGGAAAGGAAAGACGGGCCGGAGAGGCCCCGAGAGTGGGCCAGGGACGGGGAGCAGAGAGGCGTTGTGGGGAGACAGAGACGCGGGGCGCAGAGGAAAGGCAGACGCACAGATGGGCCCAGGGGGCGAGACAGGGAGGGAGGTGAAAAAGAAAACAGGGGAGAGAATCGTGGGAAAGAGGAGGGGAGTCATGGACAGGAGAGGCGAGAAGGAGGGTACAAAAGCACAAGACGCAGAGAGAGGAGGGGCAGGGCCGAGGGCGGGAGAAACAAGAAGAGAGACGGAGTGGCAGGAAAAGGAAGCAACAAGAGGAAAAGGGAGAATTGAGCAAAAACAAAAACAGAAATGGATCTGGTTACTGCCATGGTGGGAGCCGCTGGCCTGGCCCTGTCCCCGGGGCCCCTCTAGAGCCACCCACAGGAGGCTGGGCCACTCCAGTGGGGCTGGGGTGGGGGGAGGGAGAGGGGGCTGGCAGGTAAATCTCGGTGGGGGGGCCGGGGGTAGGCCTGCTTCTCCCGTGACAGTGGGGTTCGGTGACTGCTGGCCAGCAGAGGTTCTGCCGTGTTCCAGGCAGGCCAGACCCTGGGTTAGGGGTGCGGGGCGAGGTCCCTCCTGCCACGTGACACAGCATCAAGCACAGGGCTTGGCATGCAGCAAACAGTCAATAAGGATGGAAGGAAGGAAGGGTGGATGGGCGGCTGGATGGACCATGGATGGGAGGGGAAAGCAGAGCTGTGGGTGCAGTGCCAGGGGTGGCCACTAGGCGGTAGGAAGCAGCTAGGCCAACGATGGAAGGCCTAGTACCCCTGAGGATTAGCAGCAGAACCCCACAGAGCCTGGCAGACAGTAAGTCATCACACAGTAGGTGCTCACTCAGGAGATGTTCACACAGAAGCCCAGGTCCTGACATACAATAGATAGCCACAATCACAGAGGCCTGGCACGCAGTAGGTGCTCACGCAGCAGCCGACGGCCAGGCACATAGTAGTAGGTGCTCACAGCAGGTCACTTCCTGACACATGGTAAGTGTTCACTGATTACCAGAGTTTAGCACACATTAGGTGCCCATTCAGAAGTCCATTTCCTGACACACAGTAGGTTCTCACACAGCAACCCAGAGCTGGGTACACCACAGGCACTTACAGAATTGATGTTCACACAGCAGCCCAGGACCTGACACACGGTAGGTGCTCACAGAACTCAGGGCCAGGCCCACAGTGTACATGTCCATACAGCAATCCAGGTCCTACACACAGTTGGTGCTCACACAGCAGCCCAAATCCTGACACACAGTAGGTACCGACCAGCATCTCAGAGCCAAACACACAACAGGTGGTCACACAGAAACCCAGGTCCTGACACACAGTGCGTGCCCACAGCCTGACACACAGTAGGTGCTCCCAGAAACCCAAGGCTTGACAGGAGGTGCCCACATAGCAGCCTGATTCTAGGCACACAATAGACAGTAGGTGCTCAATAAGAAAAGGGATCTAGAAGCTGCCCCGGAGCCACCCCGCACAAAGTCACACCTGAATAAGGGGCTGGGAGGAGGGGCGTGCCAAGGACCTGGGGGTGGGGGCTGCAGGCTCTCAGCACCCCAGTGCTGTGGCCTGGGCACACGGCCCCAAGGAGAGCAGTGGCTAGACTGAATTGAGAGCCCAGGATGGGCACTGGGACAGCAGAGCAATGGAGGGAGATGGGACCAGGCCTTGGAGAGAGGGGAGCTGAGGGCCCCAAGGGAAGGAGAGGGGAGAAGGGGGAAGGGAACTCACTATTCCAGCCGCTTTGGCCAGGTCAGGGTTGTTGGGCGTGAAGCTCCCGCTGTGGCTGGTGGACACGGTGTTGGGTTTCTTGTTGCTTAGTCCCATGGCATCCATGGACTGGCTGCGGCTCCTGATGACCCGCTACGAGCATGAGGGTTGGGGTGGAGGAGGCACAGGTTTCATAAAGCTCCACTCCCCAAGGGAAACCCCGCAGCCAGACCCTGTGCCCTTCCCACCAATGCCACACACAGTCCCTTTCTGTGAGGCCACCTGAGAGGCAGGTCCACATGGTGCCAAAGGGTCGTTTGGGCCTTGGCTCTGCCACCACCTTGCTGGGTGACCTTGGGTAAGTCACTTCACCTCTCTGAGCCTCAAGAACCTCTTTGGATGGGCCTCCCCAGTGGCGCAGTGGTTGAGCGCTGGGTTGCGAAGCTGCCTGCAGCCTCTGCATCGCCCGCTCCATCCCCGCCCGCCAGGCGAGGGTCCCATATGGTGCGCAGACCTCTCCTGCTGCCCGCTGCTCCCCTCAGCAGTGTACTTCGGTCCTTCTGCCTGCTCTGCTCCCCGCTCTGGCTCTGGTGAATTCTCTCACCCTCCCACGCTTCTGACTGTACCCAGTGCTTGTATAAATAAATAAATAAATCTTTAAAAAAAAAAAAAGTTTAAAAAAAAAAAAAGAAACTCTTTGGTTGTTGTAGGGCTGCAGAAGATACTGGGTCATGTCCAAAAGGGCACATAGGGCCCTCCAGGAAGCTGTTTCCTTCATTCAAAATCTCTTAGAGCTTTCTTTCCTCCTTTGCCCTCCCTGCTCCTTGCTTTTGTTCTGCCAATATACACAGAATGCTTCCTAGGGCCCAGGTATTTCACATCCGCTCTCTCACTTCACCTGCCTGCTCCCCCCATGAGGGGGGGGTGCCCATTTTACACCTGATGAAGCTGAGCAGAGGTCAGCCTGGGTCCCACATGCCAAATCCCACCCCCCACCCCTGGCAGTCACCTGTGGGCTCTCCTGCCTCTGCAGATTCTTAGGCCTCCTCCAGGTCCGCCGTCTAGCACCCACCAGGTGTGGGATCCTGGAGTCTCCCTCAAAGAAGACAATCCTGACCTACATCTACCCTGCCATTCATTTGCTCTCTCCAGTGACAAGAGGCTCTCTCAGCCTCTTTTTCAAAAATGGGCCTGTTCCCGTCAGTCCAGGGCAGGCCTGGGCAGCTGGCTAACCTCCCTGTGCCCACCCATGTCTCTGGCTTTGCAGCTTGCTCTGGACTGAGGGTAAGGGGAGGGCCACCAGCCTGGCTGGGCATCTGGAGGATAAGCAGTCCTCCATGTGGGGAGGGGAGGTGGTGACCAAGAAGACACCACCTGGGGAACTATTGCCTGAGGAAATCCAGGCCCAGGGAGGAAGAGGCTGCCTCTCCCTTTGGGCAATAGCTGCTGAGGCAGATTTTGCATTTTGTTCCTTTAGCGTGTATTGCACTAACCTAACTGTCTTACACATAATTCTCAGCAGCTGTATGATGCAAATTGCCAAGACTCCATCCAGCAGATAAAGAAACTAAATCTCAAAGAATGTTCAGGCCAGAGAGTGGCAGAGGTTGGATCCCAAGAGCCGATGCACTCAGCACGAAGCTGAACCAGCACCGGCCAGGGCGGTCTTGTGGGGCCAAGGCCACACAGCACAGGTCCCTCCCCTGTGGCATCTGGGTTCACACACTCCTCTCAGGCCCCAATTTTCTTCCTGCCCTCAGGACAGTCGCCGCCTCCTCTCTTCTCCATCTGCTGGCCTGGCAGCCACCACCCTCAGTGCCAGCACCCCTGTTGCTCCCAAGGGCTCCAGTCTTCAGCAGAACCCACAGGCAGATTCTGCTCCCAAGCTAGGTTCTCTCCCCAAGCCAGCACCCACCTGGCACTCCTGTACAGACCACACCTGCAACCAAGTCTAAGCCACCCTGAAGCCTGGGCCACCCGGGGCGCCTGTCACCCAGGTTGTACCAGTACTTGCCGCTCTCTGGCCCTAATTTAATTAATTCCAGTCCCCAGCCATGGCCCCACCCCACCTCCAACAGGGACCGCCGCTAGCCCCGCCCCTGGCCCACCTTTAACCCCACCCTCAGCCCCCTCCAATGGGAACCCCCCTAGCCACGCCCCTAGCCACGCCCCCGAATCGCTGGTCACGCCCCGGGCGCTAGCCACACCCCTAGGCCACTAGCCACGCCCCCGGCCCTAGCCACGCCCCCAGGCCATTCTCAACGCACCCCCGGTCCCCGCCAGCCACGCCCCGGCCCCGCCAGCCACGCCCCGGCCCCCGCCAGCCACGCCCCGGTCCCCGCCAGCCACGCCCCGGTCCCCGCCAGCCACGCCCCCGGCCCCTCCAGCCACGCCCCCGGCCCCTCCAGCCACGCCCCGGCCCCCGCCAGCCACGCCCCCCGCGGGCTCCCGGCGCTTCACCTTGAAAGACTCGAAGAAGCCGCCGCCGCCGCCGCCGTTCTCCATCTTGTCCTCGTCGCCGCCCAGGCCCATCATGGACTGGCTGTGCACGTGCAGCTCCTCGTGCAGCGTCTCCAGCAGCGCGGCCCGGGTCCGCTCCTGTGGGCCGGGCGGCGCGTCAGGCCCGGGCCCGTCCCGCTTCCCGGGGGCGGGGGGCCGGGCCCGCGGGCCGCCAGGGGCCGCCCCCCCAGCCCGACACATCCCGCCCCCCCGCCCCCAAGGCCCCCCGAGGCTCCGCCCCCACCAGCGAGGCCCAGGGGCCGCCAGGGGGGCTCAGCCCCGAGCCCCTCCTCACCTCCAGCTTGGCGAACTTCTCTGCCTTGTAGCAGGCGTACTCTGCGTTGATCAGCTTTGTCAGCAAAAATTCCTGGAACTCAGGCCCCTGGGAGCCCCCAGAGCGGAGAGGAGAAAGGGGGGTCACGCGAGCAGAGGCGGGGACGAGCCCCAATCGGTCAGATTCTAGCGCTCCAGGCCCTCCGGGCTGGGCAGGTTCCCACTCCCAGAGGGGCCCTCCCGGGCCTCCCCACCCAGGAGGGCCCCCGCGTCCCTCCTGGCCACCGGCCCTGGGAGGGCGAATCCCACATGTGCGGGGCCGCAGCTCCTCCCAGGCCAGAGAGAGAGAGAGAGAGAGAGAGAGAGTGTGCTGGGGGGGAACTGAGGCCAGCTCCACGTGGCTTCTGCGCAGAGGAGCCTTGTGCCCGCCCCCCCGAACAGTGTGTAAGACAGAAGACGATCAAAAGAATAATAGAAATGAGGAAGATCCCAGAGTCTGCTACGAAAAATGCAAAACTGTGATATTTGTAAATAAAAGTCACGATTTTTACAAGATGGGCAGGAAAACCACAGACCTCAGTTGGACCGTAAGGGGACCCAGCAGTCCTGGCACACAGGGGGGCTTCAGGGCCTTGCGTGGAAGAACGTGTGCCCCCACCCAGCGAGTCTGTGCTGCGCCTCACCTTCCTGAACACAGCAGGGTCCGGGAGCGGGGGCCCGAAGAAGGGAACATCATCTCTGGCGGTGACGGAGACCTGGAAGGAGGGGCGGCTGTCCCTGCGGGGTCCCCACACCTGCCAGAAAGCACTGACCCACCTCCCCCCCTCCCCCCCTGCCCAGGCTGGGAAAGGGCCCGGCCCCTTGGGGAGATCGGTGCCTGACTGGGTGAGTGAAGTCCAGAATTTTAGCTCCTCCATCCTTTGTCCTGAACTTGAGCAGGGAAGGGATGGCAGGGCTCTGGGTGTCACAGAGGAGCATGAAGGGAGGGAAGAGGAAGGACTGGGTTGGAGGTGGGGGAGGGTAACCAGCTTCTTTCAGCGGGGTACGGTGGGGAGCAAAAAGGCAGATGTGACTCCTCCATCATCAGAGCCCTCCACAGCCCCCCTGTTGACAGTGGAGAAACAGGCTGAGAGGCCTCCCGTGACAGCAGGACGGATGCCCTGGGAGGTTGTACGGTCACCCACCTTGTAGAGGGGGCCGTCGGGCCCCCCACCTTCGGCTTGCACCACCACATAGGCGTGCAGGAAGTTGGACGCGATCATGTCGGGCACGAAGGGTGTGTTCTCATCCTGGAAGACCACCGCCACGATGTCGTTCCCGATGTGCCGCTTCCGCTGCAACTGAGCACAGGCCACAGCCTTCAGAGCCCGGCAGAGAGGGACCCACTGTGCCGTGAGGGGTGAGGGGCTGCCAGCAGGGGGGCGGGAGGGCTTGGGATAGGCCCCAGGCACATCTAAGGATTTACTCCCTCCCAGGAAAATGTGGCAAGAAACTAATCTTAAAATTATTCTAGCTCTTTTGGAATCCTGTGACAAGTGAGGAAACTGAGGCCAGGAGAGAGGTGATTTGCCTGCCTTACAAGCAAGTTTAGGGACTCGACCCCAGGGCTCCTGGTCCCCAGGCCCTACCTCTCAGCCCTGCTCCTATCTAAACACCCCAAACGCGGCCCCTCTGAGGCAAATAAGCTCCACTCAGGATATATTCATGCTGCTAAAAAGACCAGAGGAGCTTATTAGAAGAAAATTAAGAGACATAAATAATAAGAAATAAATCTACTTTGTTCACACTACTACTGCATCCCCCTGGGGTGGGGATGAGGAACGAGAGAGAGTCCTACAGGAAGCTTAGGACGAGGGGACACATTCCTGAGTTCAGCTCTCGGAACACGTCCTCAGCTTCAGACCTTGGCAGAAGGTGGAAGCTGTTCTCTCACCTGGAACATCCCCCCTCCTTCTCTCTGTTCCTTCACAGCCTAAAAGTCACTGTATCTTGAAAGTTTTCCTGACTCCCACCTCTGCCAAGTCCAAGTGCACCCAGGTGAGCCTGCAGTGCCCTTTGGTCCCTGTGAACATACCCACTCAGATCGACTGAGCTCCTGCTATGTGCCAGACACTGTTCTAGCCACCCTGCGTGCCTTGCCCTCTTGTGCGCTCACCTACGAGGGGGATGCCCCCAGCAAGCCCATCCTACCGAGGTGGAAAGTGGAGCCTTCACGACGCTGTCGCAGTTGATCTCCCTGGCCCTGGCTAGAACCCACAAGTGGGGAGAATGGATCATTTCCATCTCTAGGTCCCAGGACCGCTGAGTCTGGGGTGGTGGGTACTGAATGGACAGGAAGACAGAGGGATAGGTGGACAGGTAGGAGGCAGATGGGAGGGTGCCCAGGCTACCTGCTGGGCGTCCCCTTCTGTGTAGGGCAGCTTGGTGGACACGTGAAACATGATCTCCTTGTTGCGGAAGTTGCAGTACACAGACTCGGTCCCCGTCTGCCCGTGCGTCACGTCCAGGCCTCCACGGAACCTGCTCCAGGCCCCCCAGGCCATGGCTCAGTCTCCAGCCCCAGTCAGGCCTCCATGGGGCCAGGACGGGGGCTCCCTCCCTGCCCAAGGGCACGGGCCAGATCACACTCTGTTCATCCCACCCTAATGCTCACCCTTTAAAGTCCTGCAACTTGACCTTCTGGCCAAGAAACTCGAGGAACTCCACGAAGGCAGGGCTTTCCTCGTTAGTGCTGAAGAGCTCTTCCTCAGAGGTCTGTGGACCACAGAGAGCAGAAGCCATGGAGCTAGAGCTCGCAGCAGCCCCCAGCCCGCACACCACTCACACCAGGAGGAGGCTGGAGGAGGACCTCTGGCGCCCCTAAGCTCCTGGGAACCTGAGTCCCCGGGCAGGTGTTCTCCCTGACAAAGGTCTCAGGTCCCAGGGACAAGGCCAGGCGGGTGGGGGAGCAGGGAGGAGGAGGTGAGCACACCTGCCCAAGCTTCTGATAAATGACTCCGAACTTGAAGTTATTGCTGATAACGTGCTCGTCAAAGGTGACGATGAGACGAGAAGCCTGGGGGAAGAGACGATGCATTTAAACAGATTATATTTTCACACTGCCATTTACTGCTCTCCCTACATGCCAAGCATGGTGCCAGGCACTCCCATACATCATCTCACTGAAGCCTCCAAACCTTCTTCCTGTGAGGGAGACACTCCTGCTGTCTCCACTTGACAGATGAAGAAACCAAGGTTCAGAGAGCAGAAGTGACCTGCCAACCCCACTGGCTTCCAGAGCTCACTGCCCTCAGCTTTGCCCATGAGCCCTGGAGGGCCAGCTCGGCAACACCCACCTCGTTCCTCATCCTTCTACCACAGGCCAGTCCCATCACCTGGCTGTGGGGCCTTGAGCAAGTACCTCCTCAGCTTGGGCCTCAGTTTCCTCTTCTGTAACTTAGAGGTGGGGCCACCTTTCCTGGACATCCCTCAGGGGATCACCCTGCTCTAAAATTCAGTCAGAATCACAAGGAAGGTGCACGTCTTCCAGGAAGCCCCCTTGTTGAAGACAGAAGCCCCTAGCCTTTTCCTCCAAATGGTCACAGGGCCTTGAACCCAGCATGCAGCCCCAGAGCTGGAAGGACAGCCACTGTGTGTGGGGAGCATTCACGGAGGAGCCTGTGCTAGTCTCTCTCCCGGGTTCTCTCTGAGGCCAGAGGCAAGGCCTGTCGCATCCCCTGGCTCAGGGGGTCCCAACTGGCGTTGAGTGTCTGGAGGTGAATAAGGCTGGCCTCCAAAGCGGACAGCGGCCTTGCAGTTTAAAGGCAGGCCCTCCTTAGCCACTGCATCCTTGGGTAAGGCACAAAGCCATTCTGGGCCTCTGGTTTGCCTGCAAATGTGGACTTTGCAGGCTTATGTGAGGATGAAATGAGATAACTTAGGAAAAATACCTTGCACAAAGGTGCCCAACAAAAACGCTGTCCCAGTTAGTGCCCACCCTCAGTGTCAGGGCCCCCATCCGGCCGTACCTTGGGGTAGAGCACAGGGTAGAATCGATCCACGTTTACATCTTCACACACCAGCTGCAGGAGACAAGAGAGGGCCTGAGGCGGGGCTGGGTGGGGCAGAGGGGTGGTCTCCGGGCCTCCCTGGCCTGGTCTAGAGGAAACAGCCAAGGCTGAAGCAGGACTGGGGCTCACTGGGACTCAGAATTGGGTGCAAAGAAGTGGGGCCCCCTGTATGTGAAGTTTTGGGGAACAGGAGCCCAGAACTCATGGAGGCGCGTGCACATCACGGGAACACGAGGAAGCGGGAGCTGCAAGACAGGGCCGCGCACATAGCGCTGGGCCTGCAGCTGAAGACGGTGTGCTGAGGCACCACTGCAGCCCACTGTGTGCCCACCTGGGATGCCCAAAGGGGCTCAGTGAAGGTGCAGAGGCCTCACCTTTGCCATCTGGACCACGTTGGGGAACTCGGTGAGGCAGGAGATGGGGATGACATCATGGTATGTCCGACACTTGGTCCTGGGAGGAAAAAGCCCATAGTAAGGGGCAAGACAGATGGGACCCCTTGGCACAAAGACCAGAGGGGCAGGCTCCGGGGGGACCAGAGGTGATGCCAGGAGCCAGGTCAGCTCAAGTATTAACTTGCTGTGTGGCCTTAGGCAGATTCCTGCTCCTCTCTGAGCCTCAATGAGAAGAGTAGGAAAGATGAGACGGGCTCTCGGGTTACAAGGTGTCAGCCCTCCCTGCTCCCCCAGGTCCCTTCACCCCAGCCCTCACCTGAGCAGCAGCCGCAGGTGCTCCTGGTCTCCAATGACGTCATACTTGAGTGAGAAGACAAGGTGACCCAGGGCGGTGTCCAGTGAGTAGTAATTGAAATGCTCCTGTAGTGGGAGGCAGGGGCCAGGGGAGTGAGTGAGGCTGAGCTGGGGGCTTCTGGAAACCAGACCAGAAAGTGCATTCACTCCCAGGTGAGTGACAGCAGCAGCTGTCACAGCTAAGGGCAGGCTCTGTGTCAGACAGACCTGCATTCAGATGCCAGCTCTGCCACCTGCCATCAGGTAGCCTAGGGAGGTCACCTCACCTCTCTGTGCCTCAGTTTCCTAGTTTATAAAATGAGAGCAAGGCCACCTGCCTTGTGCCTGGTGCGGAACAGGAGTCCAGTGAACATCTGGAGTGACCTTGGCTGTCTAGGTCGGAGTCAGGCCCACATGGACGCCCCTCTCCCAGTCCCGGCTTCCCAGGGCAGGGCACGCCGTTGGTGCTCAATAAAAACATGCCAACTGGGCCTCCCCGGTGGCGCAGTGGTTGAGTGCTGGGATGCGATCCCCAGCTGCTCCCTGGCCACCGAAGGAGGGTCCCACATGGTGCACAGACCTCTCCTGCTGCCCGCTGCTCCCCTCAGCAGTGTACTTCGGTCCTTCTGCCTGCTCTGCTCCCCGCTCTGGCTCTGGTGAATTCTCTCACCCTCCCGCGCTTCTGACTGTACCCAGTGCTTGTATAAATAAATAAATAAATCTTTAAAAACAAAAACAAAACAAAAAAAAAACCAGCATGCCAACTGCCTGTGAAGCCTGTGGCTCCGCAGCACCGGAGGCCAGGACCCATGAGAAACAGGAAGTGCAACATCTCATGACCACATGGGGCAGCTGACCTGGCAGGGTCCCACCCTCCTGCCTCACCTGGAGAAGCAGCAGGTGAGGAGAAGTACCCCAGAGGGGACAAGATGTGGAAGGGATGGCACCTCCAGAGAGGAGGCCAGAGCTGGCACGCCATCCAGGTGGGGAAGCCCCCGGCCCCTGCCCTGGGAGTGGGTCTGGCTCCCCAGACACTGCCGTGACAGGCGTCACCCTGAAAAGATGTCCTGCTTAGCCATGACACCTGTGCTGAGAGGAGGAGGAGTAGGGCTGGGGAGGGGCCCATGCATCTGCAGCCCAGGGTGAGCTGATGGGCCTTGGGCGGAGTCCCTCTTGGTCCTACCCGGGCACAGAGTGACAGAAACCCCCAAATGCTTGGCACCATCTGAAGTCAGAGTGGTTGGCACTTGCAAGGGCTGCACCAAAGTTCTCAGGGTGAGGGGTTTCCCCAGACCCCCTGTTTAGGCCCAGAGGACCCCAAGGAGGGTGGGTTTAGGGTCCCAGAAAATCAATGTCCAAAGTCACCCTTCAGGGCAGGGCCCAGTGCTTCCCCAGTGCCCCCACCTGGCATCAGGAAGTAGCCCTGCCTCTCTGCCAGGCCCTGGGGACCCTCTAACCTAACCTTGGTCAACATGTCTCTTCTGAAGGCCCAAGTGGCTCCCTTCAAATCCTTCTGTGCGCAAGGTGCCACCTCCATTCTGTCCCTCATTACTTCCTTTTCTCAGTGCCAACTACATGCTGGGCCCCCGGATTTACCACCTGCCAGACCCAGCTGAGGGCCTCTGAATGGTGGGCGCCTGGGACATGGGTCCCTCTCCACCCACAGGGAGGTGGAGTCCCATGCCCTGTTCTTGGCCTGCCCTTGGCAGCAGCTGCTGGCCTGGCCTGGTCTTAGCCACCGTCCCAATTGAGTCTGGCCCTTGTCCTCACCCCCACCTGAGTGCCACTATCCCCTCAGGGTCAGGTCAATGCCTTGGACCCAGACTGAGGTCACAGTTTGCCAAGTGCCCAAGAAGCCAGTCCCCTGCCTTCCCTCCCAACACACATACACACAGAACTGGGAGCACTGGCCCCTCCTGAATGTCTTAATGGAAGGTCAGCCAAGGCTAGGTCTGATTCCTAGCTCAGTAATTGTGTGACCTTAACCAAGTCACTTCACCTCTCTGAGCCTCAGTTTCCTCCTCTGTAAAATACAAGATGATCCTGATCTCAGAGTGATTACAAAGATATAATAATAACAGCCAACATTTATTGAATATTTACTGTGTGCCAGGTCTGGTTCTCTAGGCTTTTCATATGTTTTTATTATCCCTGCTTCTACACATGAGGAAACAGGCTCGGAAGGCTAAGGAACTTGCCCAAGGTGCCACCAACGCCAAGTGGAATATTCTCGTGGAGTCCACTGGACTGCAAGGCCACACTCTCTCCACGCCAGGTGGTCAAGTGACAGGGACGGCCTGGCAGCTGATGCATACAAGGCCCCAGGCTGCCTGTAACCCTGCCTCCAGCTCCCATGGCCCGGCCCAACAATTTGCTGCAATCACCAGCGGCCCAACAATTTGCTGCAATCCGACCAGCTGTGCCTGGGTAGGGTGCCTGCTCTGGAGCTGCTGGTGGGGCTGGGGAGGCTTCAGTGTGGGTCAAACCCAGCCACCCCGTGTCTCCAGCACCTCGCTGCAGCTGCCCAAGAGCAGGGCCTAGGTCTGTTTAGTTTGCTGCTGGTGCCCAAAGAGCCAGGCACACAGCTGGTGCTCCTTATGTACCAGCTCTGCTCGAGAATGTACTAGCTCTGACTCCATGCCAGACTCCACTCCATACACCTTACCAGCGGCATCTCATTAAAGGCTCGCAGGGCCCTCTGAGGGGGTGTCATCATCATCTCCACTTTTACAGGTGAAGAAACAGAGGCACAAAGAAGTTAAGTGACGTGCCCACGTCCCTTGTGGCAGGGTCCCGGTAGAGCCTCTGTTGTTGACCACTGTGCCATGATCCTGCCTTTCTCAATAAATGCTTGTTGAATGAATATGTGACTACCAGGCATGCTCCCTGAGCCTCAGGACTCAGACCATCACCCAGCCCAGCTCCTTCCCAGGCCCAGTCCCCCTTCCCGCCCCGGGCAGGGCAGAAACCCATTCCCTCCCTCACCCAGTCCCCCACACCAGCAAGCCACCCACCTTGCCAAGAAAGTGCTTCCGGTAGATGCGGGCGGTGGGGTTACACTCCAGCTTCACCTTGGTGGTGGGTGACTGCAGCGGCTCTGTCTCGGGGATGCTGGTGATTTCATGGTTGGTGCCTTCAATCCAGTAGCCCCCAAACTGAGGCAGCAGGATGAGGGGGAAGGGTCCTTCTCGCCCCAGGACCTGAAGAAGGTCTCAGCTGAGAGTTACCCACATGGCACCCCAGATACAACTCAGACCTGGGTCACGTCTACCATGGCCAAGGGGTGCTAGGGGACAACCTAGGGCTCGCATCCACCCCTCCAGTGTACTTGCTCCCCTCTTCCCCTCCCATGCAGACACAGACTTAGGCGCAGGGGACCCCGCGCCCCAGTCTCTAAAGATGGGAAGGTGGAGGCAGGTAGAACTGGGAGCATGACCTTGGCCAAGAGGCTGAAATATCTGGCTCAGAGACCTGAGGGTTCAAATGGGTTCGAAGGTCTCTAGCTGCCCCCCAGCAAGGTCTGTGGCCAGGCTCCAGGTAGGGAGGAGTCTCCCAGGCTGGGGTAAGGCTGGGCTGGGGGGAGGGGTGGCCAGCTGGTTACCTCGTGGACGCTGGGGTAGGGAATATAGTCCTCCTCCGTCTGCAAAACACAAGCAGAGTAGACCTCAGCAGGGGCGGGGGCGCCTAGCCTTCTGGACCAGGGGACGGCTGGGGCTGTGTTCTCATCGCCCATCTCCCAGATGGGGTATGGGTCAGCCTGGGATAACCCCATGAGGCAGGGGCCGAGGCAGGCTTAGCTCACTAAGTACCAGGACAAAAGGGGGCCCTCTGCCTCCTTGGAAGAAACCCCTGGGCCAGTAGCTAGTGCATCGGAAAGGCCTAGAGAGCTGCTAAACACAGGGAGCTGTGCCCCACCCCCAGAGTTCCTGCGGCTGCCGAATGGGATGGGATGGGTCTCAGAATTTACACTTCTCACAAGCTCCCAGGGAATGTGGAGACCCCCAACCCTGGACAGAGCCCAGGTGCCAAGAACCACCCTTTAGGGCCTCCCCGGTGGCGCAGTGGTTGAGCGCTGGGTTGCGAAGCTGACCGCAGCCTTTGCAACGCCGGTTCGATCCCCGGCAGCGCCGGTTCGATCCCCGGCCACCGAGGAGGGTCCCACATGGCGCGCAGACCTCTCCTGCCGCCCGCTGCTCCCCTCAGCAGTGTACTTCATCGGTCTGCCTGTTCTGCTCTCCGCTCTGGCTCTGGTGAATTCTCTCACCCTCCCATGCTTCTGACTGTACCCAGTGCTTGTGTAAATAAATAAATAAATCTTAAAAAAGAAGAAGAACCACCCTTTAGCCCTCCCCCTGCAGCCCTGGGCCCACCTCCAGGTCCAGCCTGGGATTTTAGGATTTTGGGGGCTCCTAATCACTGATCATAGAGCCACATGCCTATCTGGAGGGCAGCTCCCATCCCAGGACAATTCTGAATCAAAAACAGGAGACTCCAGTCGCTCTCCCTGGCAGCTGGGCACCCCTCCCGCCTCGGTCAGCCCAGGCAGGAGCTACAGACACAGGAGCTCATAAGCCTCCTAGGCTTAGGCAGATTCTAAGTGGCTTCAGGGAAAGCATTTTAGGGCAGCTGTCCTGTGAGGAATGGGGAGCCGACTCTGGATGAGGAAGCCTGGAAAGGCAATGAGTCCGGTGGGAAGGAGTTGGAATAAAGGCTCATGGTAAGGGGGGGCGACCCCTCTTGCATCCCACACAGGAACTCCTGGAGGGCAGGGGCTGCTCACCCACCTGCCCCCTGCGCCAGGCGCACAGTGAGACCACTTCACGCCAGGAGGACAGACATTCCTGGGCTGACTGCTGGGACTGGCAGCACTTCCAGGCCCCACCCCCACCCCAGAGAGGGTGTCTGCCTCCCCTTCCCCATCCCCCTCCATGTCCCCAAGCCCTTTGGAGAGGTGGCTCTGGAAGCAAACAGCTCCAGAGGGGGGGAGGGGTTGGAGCCTGCTTCAGACCTACTTTGAGGGGCGGTGGGAAGGAGCATCGTTGTTCATCCATCCTGCTTCCCTGCAGAGAGAAGGTGGCACACCAGTCACGCCCCTCCCATGCTGCCTCGGTGGGCTGTACCCCTGCTTGCCGATGCAGAAAGGGAAAGGGAAAGCCTTCCAAGGAGGGTTACTCCCAAGCCAGGGTGCTCAGGCCTCTCTGCAGGCCTCGGTCCTGGTGATAACCGGGCGATGGAGGCCACAGCGGCAGGGAGGGGCACGTGAGGTGCGGGCTGGGGGTGGGGCAGCGTGGGGTGCACATGCAAGCGTGGGGAGGAGGGCTGCTGCGTCCACACAGATGTGTGCTGTTGAGAGGAAGGGAGATGGGGACAGGGAGAGGGCAAGGGGCGGGTGGAGACAGAAAGGTTGAGGGAGGCATGGAAACAGGAGGGGGCAGAAAAAAGGGATTTAGAGGGTGAACTGACATAGCAGGGGAAGCCCCTGAGGTTTGTTGTAGTAACATCTCCTACCCCCAGCCTGCTTCTCCCTTGTCTACCTCCCAATACATAACACACAAACACACACACAAAGAGCCCAAAAAACTAGATGATGGTCTGTAAGAGCAGAGCGGGGGGGGGGGGGGGGGGCAGGGTGTGTGTGGAGGATGGCAGGGGTTATTAACACCGCTGGCCCCTACCCGCACAGCCTCAGGCTGCCCTGTACCCAGCATCCGTCCCTCCTCCCATTCCATATGTGGGTCCAGCAGAGTCTCTGGGGAGTGGGGATGGTGCGGGGATGTGGGGGTGGGTGGAGGTGCTGCCCCCACTCCTGCTGGGGACTGACCCGGAGATGGGAGCTCAGGCCGACCAGGTGGGGTGTGGGCCCTCAGACAAACAGGGCATTGGGCACTACCAGTGGATTGTGGGGTGTGTGTGGCACTACCCACTACTAGTGGGAGGCACTACCCTTCCTCACCCCTGGCTCCAAGACAGAGAACTCTGGACAACATGCTGCCACCCTCTCCATCGGGCACTGCCAAGGGCCCCCCCCAACACCAGCCCAGGCCCCTCTGTGGCTCCCTGCAACCTTACCTGCATCTTTTCAATCATCTCAAACAGACCTGTGATCTGCAACAGAAATGGGGCAGTAGGTCAGTCCTGAAGGTGGCCCAGATGATCCTGCTATGCCCCCCAGGGAGTCTGGTTCCCCCAACTCTGACCACCGGACATGGACCTATACCAGCAATAAGAATAAGTGGAGGGAGCATTGCAGGAGCGGGCTCGGTGGAGCTGACCCACAGAGTATGACCAACTGCTGAGTGAAGTCAGCCCAAAGCTCCAGGGCACCCTCCCCACTCAGCCCCCTTCCTCAATGGAGGAGTGAGGAGGCTGCTCTCTTCTAAGAGAGCTAGGTGGAACCCCAGACCCTCCTGAGAAGCCCAGCTGGACTGCGACCTCCAGCTCTTCTGGGGGTCTATGGCTGATCCTGGCTTTGCTTGACCTTGCATGGCAGGGGGGAGATGTGTTGCTCCCCCTGGCACATTCCTCTGTGTCTGCAGTGTGGGCAGGAGGGAGTGGAGGATGCCAAAGTGTTCCACTGGCCCAGGACCTGTGGGAGCCCACATGCGCCCCCTACTCCCCCTACATGCTTGAGCCAGCCTCTCTGGGGCACATGCAGGGTTAATCTAGGCATCTGCCAGCTGCACTTGGCAGCCTCAGCCTCTCCAGCGCCAGCTCCCTAGGATCCTTCCTGGAAGGCGGCATCCCTGCCCGCTGGGCTGCAGGGGCTGCAGGAGCTGCAGGGGCTGCAGGGATAGGGGGCTGAGAAGGCCCCAGAGTCTCCCGGGTGAGGATGGTACCCCTCCCCCAACACCTCCAAGGCTTCAAGTTCCTGCTGCCCAATGGGGCAGTGCCTGAACTCACACACATGTGCTACGGGTTGTACACCAGGAAACACATTCTCTCTCCCTCTCTCTCTCTTGCTTGAACACACGCAGGCCTGCATGCTAATATTTAAACAGTTTGGCTGTACAACACACACCCCAACTCTGAGACTGTGCTAATACACAAACGCACATGTCGGTGTCCAACAGCACATCCACTCTCACAACACACAGGTATGTGCACCACGAGGGCCACACACGCAAGTGCAAACCCACACCTGTGCAGGTCTGCAAGCCAGTAACCACACACACAACTATAGGAGCACAAAACCACCCAGGTCTGCATGCTGAGCCACAATAGCACACTCACAGACGCAGGCAGCCATGGAGCCCCACTTCCAAGCACGAGGTCACCCTCCCCAGGCAGAGTCACACACCCCGGGACAGACATGACTGACTCGATCCCACCACACTCAAAGAAGTTTTGGGGAAAAGAAAAAGTGGTTAATCCCCAAGGATAAGGGGTCACAGATCTGAACCTCACGGCGCCCCTCACACCCACCTGAGCACACACCAGCCCGTCACACTCACACTCACACACAGGGAGTGCTGTTAAGGATCACGAGACACAAACAGCACGCGTGCACACTCCCAGGCGCAGCCTCCCTTGTAAGAGGCACCACACAACCGCAGACCTGTGGTCACACCCAGCACCTCTCAGTTTGGGAGACACAATTCCACAGGCTGCTACGGCACAAACCACAGACACACACCCGCGATCCAGAGACAAACAAGCCGCCAGCCCAGCGCCCTGCGCTCCAGCGGCCCCGGCAGCTCCCCGGGCCGGGGCGCGTCGGGCCGCGCTTACTTTCCCGCAAACTCACACCGGCGCGCAGACTTCCCCCAAGGGGGCCGGGCGCGGGGACGTGGTCCGGGGCTCCCCGCGCGCCGCGCCACCGCCCGCAGCCCGGCGGCCCCGCGGGCGCTCAGCGCCCCGACGGCCGCGCAAGGGCCGGGGCCGGGGACCCTGGGGCAGGGGCGCGCCCCGGGGCCGCCGCGGCCGGTGTCAGCCCAGAAGCCAACACGCCCTCCATGACGGAGCCTCCTACCCGCCCCGGCCGGGGCAGGGCGGGCCGGGCTCCGCCGAACCGCGCCGACCCGGCTCCCGGGGACGCGCCCGCCGGGCCACCCCGCCGCCCCTCACCTGCCAGCCGGACCCCGCGGGCAGCGAGCCCCTCCGCGGACGGCCGGGCGGCGCCGCGGGCCGTGGCTGCGCCATCCCGCGCCCGGCCCAGCCCGGGCCCCAGCCCGCGCGGCGCTTCAGCTGGCCCGGCCGCCTCCGGCCCGCGCGCGCCCCGGCCCGGGCCCCGCAGCGCCCAGCTCCGCGCTCGCGGCCCCGGCTCCCGGCTCCCGCGGCGCTGCCTGCGCTGGGCTCGCCGGGCGGCCGGGCCGGAGGGGCGGGGCGCCAGGTAGGGGCGCGCGGGGCCGGGGCGGGGCCGCCGAGATCCGGGGCGGGGCCAGCGGAGGCCCCGCCCCGGTGCGACCCGGCCGGCGGCTCCCGGGCACTGCGCCTGCGCGCTCCGGCTCTAGCGCTGGAGGCTCCTGCGTGCAGGGTTCTCGGGAGCCCCCAGCCCGCTTTCTCTTCTTTCCAAACTTTGGGTGCCCCGCCCCCGGGCCTCGAGGATGGCGCATGGGGGTCGGGCTGCGGAGCCCAGCATGAAGAGGAGGGGGTTACTCTGGAGGAGGAGGACGTTTCTTAAGCACCTACTTCATTTTTCAGCCTCTCCCCACCACCCAAGAGGTGCGAGTGTCATCCCCACTTCACAGTAAGAAAAGTGATTCCAGGAGGGGAAAGCATGCTCAAGACCGCAGCAGTAGGAAATGACAGCACTAGCAATCCAGGGAAAGGCCTGGATCTGGACTTCCTCTCTCCTTGCCTCCCTGGGCCCCTAATGTCTCACAGTGGCTGGCCTCTGCCCAGCCTTCCCCCAGCCCCACGCCCATACCAGGCCCTAACTGCCCCTGATCCTGGAGGAGATGGCCACGGTGCCTCCGCAAGGGTTGCCAAGGAGGTCTTGTGCTATGGAGCAGGCTTCAGGACACGTGCGTTCTAGCTCTGGCCTTGCTACAACTTGCTGAGTGGACGTGAGTGAATCCCTGCAACCTCTGTAGGTTTGTTTCCCCATCTATGGAATACAAGGCCTCTGCAGGCCCTGCCAGTGGATCCTGCATTTTGTCTGCCTCTGTACGATGCAGGAAGAACCCCTTCCCCAGACCTAGGCTGGAAAAGCCTGATTCCTGAGCTGTGGCCAAGTCAACTCCAGCTGCTTTTGGATGCTGCAAGGGCAGAGCTGCCCCCCAGCTCAGTGCCCAGCCTCTCTTCAGCTTCCTGAAGGAGCTGCTGGCAGCTGCCTACTGCACTTCATCTCCTGGAATCCTGGAAGGAAGATCCTGTGCCTTCCTCTCCCCCAGACCTGGCTCTGGATCAAGATGGAGTCCAGGCAGCCGACGGGAACTCTGGAGATGTGTGTTCCAGACACGGTGTAGCTTTGTTTTTAATAATTAACAGCAGCAAATATTGATTTACACAAGCACTTCCAGGCCTGAGCACTTCCGGGCACCCATCGAAATGCAGCCAGAAAAACATCCATTCCCACACTGCCCCTGGGGGAGACGAGACCTGGCCCCATCACCTGAGATGTCTATGTGCAGGTGGAGTGGAGGGTGTGCACAGGTGTGCACGCAGCTCTGTGTGTGCGAGACTCTGAGACCAGATGTGGCTGCGGCACATGGACAGCCTGGGTGTGTGCATGTGTGTTTGTGCACGTGTATCTGTATATGCCGGCACGGGCGCCTGTGTATATCTGAATACATTTGCAGACGTGTGAATGTGTCAGTCTTCTCTCTGTGTTCGGCCATGTCCACAGGTGTGGGTGGGCTGTACTTGTGCACAGATTTCTGAATCCCCGAGTGGAGAAACCCCTGTAGGAGGGAGGGCAGTAGGGGCCCGGAGAGTTCACATCTATACAGATGTGGCTCCCCAACTAGAGGGGGGTGCCCCTTCTTGGTGTTCTTTCCAGCCCGAGGGATGAATAATGCTGATACTAGTTCAGCTTCCCAGTTTCTACTTTTCAAATTCCTTTCACAGTCATCACACAACGGTAAGTTTGTAAGATGGGGAGAGGAGTGAGAGGGCAGAATTTGCCCATTAACACAGGGAGGTCACCTGCCCCTCGGACTGGTGCCATCAACACTGCAAATGTGTGTAGAGTTAGAGGTTCCAGGGGGATGGGGAGTAGAGAATGTATCTCACCCCACTATTGCTTTGCTGGCGACCCAGACTGACCACTCAATCTCTCTGGGCCCTGGTTTCCTCTCCTGTCAAAGGAGGATTATCCACAGGCTATCTTGCTTCTGTAGTGGGGGTTGGTTGTGGTTTGGAGTCTGCCGTCTGGGCTATGTTGACACAAAGGGAGGTTTCTAGCCAGGAGGCTGGGAAAAAGGGGTGCGGAGCTAATCTGAAGGCCAGCCCCAGGTTGTCTAGCAGGCAGGACTTGGGGCAATGGGTTGCTCCAACCCTCACTTTCCTAGAGGGGAGACTGAGGCCCCGGGTGGGGAAGCTATGACCCAAGAACACAGCCCTGGGTGAGCCCTCGGGCCTCATCCCAGATGCTCGAGGGGCGAGGGACTGGGAGCCTCACTCATGAACCATTGCGTCCCTCCCTTCCTGCCAAACCCCAGGATCCACATGACCCAGTTTGGGCTCTTGACAAGGCCCAAAGAGCAGAAGAGGGTCTCAGAAATTCCCTGATGCTGTCCCCAGCACCCCCACTTGGGGCCCTTTGAGGTAGTGGTCCCCCACAAGGACACCATTCCTTAGCCATCTGCCCTCCTGGCCTAGGAGAGGTATATGGCTCTTGTTCCAGGCCAGAGAGCTAGAAGAGGAATTTGACAGATTCTGCCTTACTCTTTCCTGGCTGTGTGACTTTAAGAAAACTGCTTCACCTCTCTGAGCATCTGAATCTTCATCTGAAGAACACCTACCACGCAAGGTTGGTAAAAGGACCAAGAGGCTTCATGTCTGTGGATGGCATTAGAAACTTTAAAGTGTACTATGAACATGAGGGCTTCTTCCTGTCGGCAGTAGGAGGGCAGAAGCCCACACACCCTGTATAGACAGCCTGCGTTCTGGTCCTGGTATCCTCACGGCAGCCTACCTGTGTCTCTTTGGGCAAGTCACTTAACCTCTCTGAGCCTTGTTTTTCTCATCTGCAAAATGGGACTACCCCACAATACTGACAGCTTGAGGATGACATGAGACAGGGCATGTGGAGATACTGCATGCATATGTGGGGAGCCACATCTGTACAGACTTGAGTTATCCAGGCCCCTAATACCCTCCCCCTGTGGGGGCTTCTCCACTCAGGGACTCAGTTGTAGCCCCTGGTACATTGTGAATCTCAGTAAATGTAGCAGTTATTCTATTTGGACAATGCATGCGTCGTTCAGTTATTTGTCTCTTCACTGAACTATGGCTCCTTGAGGGCAAGGTGTGTGGCAGGTTGATTTCTGGCCCCTCAGTGCCCAGAACAAAGTTTGACACAAGTCAAGTGCCGGGCAAACCTTTGACTTAGATGATAACAACAACAGGAGCCCCTTGTAGGGCTCTAACTCCAGGCCTGACAGAGTGCGTGGAATGCCTTGTGAGGGGGGGTGCTATCATTATACCCAATTCACAGGCCAGGAAACTGACAGTGATGTTGATAACGAAGGGCATGAAGAGTAGCTGGTTGGTCAGTTTGTTCTCGGCTGTTGTGCCCACCGCCTGCAGACCCTGGTCCAGCCTGAGACTGCGGCAGGCCCACCCAGAGGTCAGGAGTGGTATCCCGCCTGGGGGCCAAGCTTCATCTACCTGAGCATTTTGCCTCTGATCAGTAGTCATTCCTAGATGTCTCCCAGCCCTGGGGGGTGGTGGGGGCAGGCAGACCAGCAGTGGCGGGGAAGGAGCACTCACCTTGGGGTGCAGTAAAGCAGTGTGGGAGGGAGCAGAGTCCACTCGTGGTAGGTCTAGTGCCTGAGGGAAGCGCTGGTTGTGCCCATCACTCCTCCTGGAAGAGAACAGAGGAGGTCAGGGAGGGCCCCCAGTGGGAGATCTGGGAATTTGGAGGGAGAGTCATTCTCAAAGTCAAGTGACATTAGCGGGGCAGCTTTTATGGAGGAGAGGGTCCTGGGCTCCCCAGGAGGAGGCAGAGGAGGAGCTTCCTGCACAGGGCTGCCAAACAGGTCTCCTGTCCCCCAGAGACCAGAGATGCGGGCAGGGTCTCTCCCTGGAGGCTTCCCTACTGCACACTCAAGCCAAAAGGATGTCCACAGCCCGCTCTGATGGGTAGACTGAGGCAGGGTGCTAGAGGTGATCCTGATCTCAAGTGCTCCAGCCTCTAATTTCCCACCCTGAGCCTTAACAGCAGCCCCAGGGGCTGAGAGGCCACCCAGGCTCCTGCTTTACTAAAAGTAATTAATACTACACTTATTACTGCATATGTCATGTCAGGTATTATATTTCTATAATGTGTAATAATAACTGAACCCCATTGGGCCAACCGTGTGCCAAGCCCCGTGCCAAGCCCCTCTTTCTGGGCCTGAGGTCACAGACTGCGCACCCTGGTATCCCCCACTGGCATAGCCGGCATCTGCGTGAGGCCTGACTGACTCCATGCCTCAACTCTGCCCACACCCACACCCCTCCCTGAGGAAAGGAAGCAGGTCTGGTGAGGGTGAAGTCAGCTCCCGTCACCCCAGAAAGCCTGCCGAGGAGCTACCTCTAGGGAGAGGAAGTGCTCGGTGGCTCCTGGGACCCAGGGCTGGGCAAGCAGGCGTGGCTTCCGGCCGCTGCTGAGGGCCACCCTGACGTGGCTACACCCCTGCCCCAGCCCCGCAGAGCAAGGCTGGCCCTAACAGGGTGAATCACTCGGGCTGCTAGATGATCCTCCACAGCCCATGGCGGGCTTGAGTCAGGCAGAGCTGGGCCTGCCACTCCCCAAGGAAAGGGCCTGTGGGAACCTGGACCAGGAAGGAGACCCTGAGGAAGCCCTGAGCCCCCTCCCAGCCCCCTCGGGAGAAACACCTACTCCAGCAGGAGAAACAGCCCAGAGGAAGAGTCCTCAGGCTCGCGTCTGGCACCAGATACTCCTCCACCTCCAGGGTGCTGGCAGCTGAAGAGGGGGGTATGCATTGGTAGCGCTTGACCCAGCAGGGTAAACAGGGTGGTAGCCGCATCAGTATGGGGGAGATACTCCTGTGTGCTCACCTGCCACCCCCAGGATGTGGGGACACTGACAGTCCATAGAGCCTCCAAGAAAAGGCATCATGGAGTCTGGACAGCTAGTAGGTGCTCACTCAATGAATTCTCTGGTATTTATTCATTCATGGTAAATTCTGACTCCCCCATTAGGGTCTTAGTAAGTAGCTACTGGGCGGTTGAATGAATGGATGGGTGTCGGCACTTGGGAGGCAGTGAAGACCTATGAGTAGGGGAACGGCCTCCATGGTGTCCTGTAGATGGCAAGGTGGGCCGACATGGGGCAAGAGGGGAGAGTAGAGAGGGGTCCATGAATAGTCCAGGCCAAAACCATCACAGGGACTCCTTGTTAGACCTACTATGTGTCTAGAACTGTGCCAAGCATATTACACCCTCAACTGTAGTGCTGAGAGGCTGGCATTATTTATCACCCTCTTTACACATGGGGAAAATCAAGTTCAGAGAGGTGAAGCCAATTCCCCTAGCAAGTGGTGACAGAGGCAGCATTTACAACCAATGCCCTTGACCAGGCAGGGACAGTGCCAGGGTCATGGAGGGCAGGGGCTGCCCAGGGAACACTTGGTGGGACTGCTGGCTGCTGAGTGGGGTATCGCCTGTGACCCGGCTATTCCAGTGGAACCCTCCATCTGTTCCCCCATTCCCCACAGTTTAGACATTTAGACGTCGTGACTGCAGGTCAGTCTGGCGGCAGCTCTGAACACACTCCCCTTCCGGAACTATCTCAGCCTCAGTTTCCCATGTCCAGATGCCCATCTCACTCAGCACTGCTTATGCTATCACGGGACTAGGGAGGTCTCTGAAGACAAGGGGGTTCTGGTTTCCATCTGGGACCCTACTGGTCCTCAGCTCTTGGCTTCCCCACTGACCAGAGTCCTGCCCCTTGCAGGCCATGAGCAACCTCCCGAAGAATCCACCAAAAAGTCACTGCTGAGGCCCAAATGGGTGGGGCAAGGCAGAGCAGGAAGTCGAGGACCCCAGAGTCTGTGGGGTCTGGCCTGTGCCTCGCACGACCTGCCTTCATCCTCACAGCTCTACAACAGGCAGGAGCTCAGAAACTGCCTGCTTTACACACAAGGGGACTGAGGCTCAGAGAGGTATGTTCACTGACACAAGGTTGCACAGTTAAGGAAGCGCTGCAGGCACTGGAACCCAGGCTTGTCACTCGAGACCCCAAGCCCTGAACTTCGCCCAAGTTTCTGAGCCACCAGCCCCACGAACCCAGCTTGTCATGTCTGAGAGGTAATAATAACAGTAACAGCAAGGGCTTAGATACTGTGCCCTAACCTGTGCTCCATGCCTCTTAGAAGTTGCTCAATAAAATACTTTGAAAGGGGCCTGCCGGGTGGCACAGGCAGTTGAATGCCGCACTGTGAAGCTGTCCACAGCCTCTGCAGCGCGGGTTCGATCCCCACCGGCCAGCGAGAACCCCACATGGCGCAGCAGACCTCTCCTGTCACGCCCGCTGCTCCCCTCAGCAGTGCATTTTGTCAGTCTGCCTGTTCTGCTCCCCGCTCTGTCTCTGGTGAATCCTCTCACCCTCCCGAGCATCTGGCCTGTTCCCCGGTTCTTGTATAAATAAATAAATCTTAAAAAAAATACTTTGAAAGCATGAATAAGCTCAGTTGCCCTCTCCACCCCTACCCTCTCCTCTGTCTTCCTCGCCACCATCCCTTCCCCACCATCTAACCTGCCTCCCGCTTCCCCTTCCTCCTCCGGCCTCTGCAGACCTGCAACTTGGTCACTTTCCTCCCTCGTAATGAACTTGAACCTCTGTCCCTCCACACATCCCTGAAAGCCTCCCTGACCCCACGGCCTGGCTTGCCCTAAAGCGCCTGCATCTCTGCACAAGCAGCAGGTGGAGCCTGCCAGGACGGGGGACTCTCCCTCTGTTCCCCTTTCCCCGGCACAAATGGGTCGTATCTGTGCGGTACTCTACAGTTTACACAAGCACTGCGTACAGTCAAAAGCACGGGAGGGTGAGAGAATTCACCAGAGCCAGAGCAGGGAGCAGAGCAGGCAGAAGGACCGAAGTACACTGCTGAGGGGAGCAGCGGGCGGCAGGAGAGGTCTGCGCGCCATGTGGGATCCTCCTCCGGTGGCCGGGGAGCAGCCGGGGATTGAACCGGTGCCACAGAGGCTGCAGGCAGCTTCGCAACCCAGCGCTCAACCGCTGCGCCACCGGGGAGGCCCTACATGGGTATTGTCTCATTGGGTTTCCACAGCAGTTTTGTGAGGTTGGACTATTGTCAGCCTGTTTTCTAGATAAGAAAACTGAGGCTCAGAGAGGTTAAGTGACAAGGCCAAGGTCACACTGGGACAAGGGCTGTGCCCAGGTTTGATTCCAGCCCAGGGCTCCGTCTGCTACAAATATCACAATTGTTCTCATCCCAGCCCTGTCCTGTCACCCCAGCCTTGGCCCCCAGGGCCTCCCCATCACAGTCCCTGGCTTCTGCAGCCACCACCCAGCATTTCCCGGGTCCAGCTCCAATCCTGTCCTGTCTGGCCTGGACACCTGCCGACAGGTACAGGACACCTGGACACAGAAAAAGGTGGCAGCCAGAGAGGTGACTCGCCCAAGGTCACCTGGAAAGCTGAGCCAACCTGAAGTCTGGGCCAGGCACATTCCAAGGTCACCTTCAGGCCCTGCGGGTATGTGGCCACCAGCCAGCTGGCCCTCTCCCCTCCCTCCTGGAGCACCCATGTCTCCCAGGGGAAGGATGAGGGAGAGGTGGGAAAGGGAGGTGTGGGGGGGGCCCAACGAGTGGGATGGGCCAGGCGGAAGCGGCTGCTGACAGCTCCCGGGTTTCTTGGCAACTGTCACTGCACCTCTTCCCCCTCCCTTATCTCCACATCAAGGTAATAATAATAATTGCACGGTCGTGAGTGCAGTTCTTTGTACTTTTCAAAAGCCCTCTTTATCTGCTCCCTCCTGGCAGTCTCACCGGAACTGGCGCGGGAGATAAGGCAGTTGCTAGGATCCCCAGTTCCCGGAGGGGTAAACTGAGGCTTGGAAAAGTTAAACTACCACCTGGAGGTCACCCTGCAGGCCCGGGGCGCCAATGCTGCACTGGGGTGGGGGGTTCTCCCTGGGGTTCCACAGTGCAAAACTGCAGGGGCAGAGCCAGGGATGGTCAGGGAGATGGGGAAGACTAAGGACAGGAAGCCAGATGTTGCTTCAGCTGCTTCCCACCTGTTAAGCAGTGGAGAACTGGGGGAGAGTCCTCTCTTTTTCTCTCATCTGCAAAATGAGAGCCAACATACCCACCCGCTAAGGTTGCGGGGAGGCACTGGGAGAGCATTATCATCACCACCACTGTCAGTGTCAGCCACCGGAGAATCCCACCCTTTCAGGGCACCAGAGGGCTGGCTGGGAGTCCTGGGACTCCCTTCGGCCATCCACAGTCAGCTGCCAGGCTGGAGCCCCCAGGTGGGCCTGGCCCCCGCTGACTCGCCCAGCTCCCAGCCACACCCTCGCCTCCCTGCCGCAGCCCCTGGGCCCGGCCTGGCTGGGCTACGCAGCTGCTCCAGCTCACTCTGCACAGGCTCTTTCCTCCTCCAGGGGCTCCTTTTTCCTGCTGTTCTGTCTGGTAAACTAGTCAGGCTTGAAAATTTCAATGTAAGCAAGGGTGAGACTCTGGTGGCCAGGGCAGGTGACATATGACAAAACAGGAGGCTGTGACGGGGAGCGGTGGATCTGGACAGGAGCTGACGGCACACAGACATAAGTGGACTAGACCGCAGAGGAGGGGCTCAGTCATGGGGCCAAGGATTTGTGGGGAGCTAGTCCAT